GCCACATACTCACTATTTTGTGTCATGAAGTTATGACGCCCTTAATACTATCAACACAAGAGCTAAATTGAACATGTCGAAGGACCTACCAACAGCAGAGGTTGATATGGCTACGTTATCCATGAAACCCCAAGCAGAGGCATTTGCTAAGGCATCTCCACGACCTCGCAGTTGAAGTTCGCGGTCAAAAGTCCTAGAGAATGAGGTCATCCAATCACTACTGGCGTCCCACATTGACCGACTTTGGTTGTTCTGTTGGTGGCGCCCGGATATCTGATATTGCTGCTCAGCCCCATTTAGCGCGTCTCCATTGTCCACAAAGAAGAAGGGATAGTTTCCCCATTGACCCCTTAGAAGAGAGCATCCCAATCGGGGAACGGCAATGTTCATTTCAGGAACTGTATTAAGTGAACGTACAAATGCAATGAGTGTGGACAATAATTGTTTGCCCTAAACTCATGCAATAATTAGCATTTTCAATTTCGCCAGTCCCTTTGAATAAGTTGAGGTCCCATGATTGGTGGTACCGTAAAGTAATTGGAAAAATACAACCGCTTGAAAACAAAATGAATTGCGAAACCAGATGAAATATAGTGTTTTATTTAACGAACTATGCCTGCGTTACCTTGGAAAGGCTTGCAAAAGCAAAATTATGCTTCGATAAAACAATAAAATGCCATTATAGCGTTAAAATAGTGTGTATATTTAAAAAAACGCAGACTACAACTTAGGCAATTGTGAGAGTAAGTTTACGTACGTAAACGGCCCCTGATGGGCAATGGATTGGGAGTGGCCTTCATTTTGGCCCCAATCATGTCGAGGAGGTTGTCAGGAGAGAGGAGACGCGAAGCTCTGACCTCGGTGGAGAGCTCGTTTAGAGACATCAGTTCAAAGCGGATACACCCAATCAACTCAGATCGTGCATCTGCGGTCTCACGGTCTAAATGCGCCCTCATCTCCTCTAGTGTCGTCTGGCCAGCATCGCTTGCCTTTGATTTCGCACCTGCAATACGAGTATAAAACCACATTTGATCCATTAAAGCTAATACAAGAGACGAGGTGCATACACCATCAATTCAAATTGTTACTTATTCACATGACCAAGCAATAGGCACATGTCAGAATTCACCTAATTTTGCCTATTCACCCACGAACAAACAAATAATTAGTGCTGATTTCTTCATCCCAATAACTTAGAAAAGAATGCATAATCCCATAAGTTGACATGCGAAACCCGACTGCAATCGACCTGTCAGCTGTCTAAAGTGCACCGAGTTTGTACCTCTGACATTTGAATCTCAGAAAGGTGGTCACCGTATTTAATGTTTCATTGTGAGTTAAAAGTTGAAGAAACAGCTATGCAAAAAAAACAACAAACCAGCAATGACTTGGCGTAAATGTAAAACAAAATCAGCTAAAAAATGTGAATGCCAAGGACGCCAGTTTGGAAACAGCACCGAAATGGAGGCACGAGAAATATCTAATGGATGTTAAATACACATACCTCCGCTGGCGACTGAGTCAGAGGTGCTTGTAGAACTAAACAGAGATTCTGAGGAGTTACTACGCGTGCTGGGAATGAGTGCATGAGTGAGTTGAATCTTTCGAACAACAGGAGAACAAAGAGGAGCATTTGGTGCAGTGGGTTGCCCTTTGATTTGCTGCTGATCATCGGGTGAGACAGAAAACGAGGGCAATGAAGAAGAACCAATAAGAGCTGCAAACTTCCCGAAACGTAACTGATAGTCTGCCTCCAGCCAAGCCTGAACTCCATGCAAAATCTCAATCTCAGGAACGTAGAAACTGTCCCGAGAGAGCATTCGCACAACTGAAGCCTGACAATGGCAGTTAACCGCTCAAAGACTACTGCTTTTTGTTTGTGCGAAATTCAGAAAAAAAGCATATGGCATTGTGTGAAACACGTAGAATGGTGCATGGATTTTTTAAAAATGGTTTTTAAAAGTAGGTGAATGCAAGAAAAGTGAAAGAAGATTACCTTCGAAAGGCGCAAAAATTGTGGATTGGATAGGATCAGTGAAGGCGAACGATCTATAGTCTGCAAGCACGCATCTACGAGGTCTTCCAGATCAAACGTAATAGCCAAATCATAAAGCAGGCAGACGTTTTGAGGTGTTAAAGAACGTATAAAGTGTGCAGTAAGATCGCTTTGAAGGTTGGGAAAGTTATATTGGCAAACTAAACCGAGAACATCAAAGGCCTCTTCAATCTAAAATGCGATAAAAAGTCCAGAACAATAAAATCGAGGACGAATTCAAAAAAAGAAAACAAATTACTTACTGTAACACCAGAAATGCAAAGTTTTCCAGTGTAAATATATTCCAGAACATAAAAAAAGGCAGTGGGATTGATTCCATTCAGATGAATTAGAGAAGAATGTGTCTCAGCAAGACCACCAAAGAGGAGAGCCCGAAAATATTCACACCTCGAAGCGAGAATCACACGATGAGCCGGAAACCGCGTACCACCAACAATAAGAGTAATGTCAGTGAAATCCTTCGTTTTAAACAATGCTGCGATATGATCAACGACCTCAGATGAGTGGTCAACATTAAATGAAATGCTTCCACTCCTGGACATGAAAAAGGTCTTCCCTAAGACAAAAAGCATCGGTAAAAGGGCCCAAAAAATCGAAAAAACACGAAAATCAAAAGAGAAACAAGGAATAATTCAGCACATAAAATGACTGCAAGTACTTATTAGACACTAAAATCTGTGGAGTAAGAATGAAAAATCAAAAAGCATCAAAGAGTCGGCGAAAAAAGAAAACGCATAGGAAGACTGAGATCAAATGACAAACGGCGACAAAACAATAGGCGTATTGAAGTATCGAATTTCTAAATCTGTAAATAAGAAATTTAAAGTAGAGAGCAGCACTCCCAGAACTTCATCAGGAGAAGAACACATTGTTTTAAACCGGATAAATAACTTCCGAGAGGACAAGAAGGAAGTGGACCATCGCATAGCCCAAAGACAAGCTAACCCGCACAAATACAAAGAAAACACCGAAATAACCGCTAGACATTGGACGTTCACATAAACAAGGTTCTACACTGCATTTCCTTATCTTGACTGATACGCACAAGCCATCACAATATATTCGGTACGGCAAGAACGAGACTACATCTCAATAGCAAATTAGAGCGAAACTAGGGCTGTGTTGAGTTTGACACATTTTAACGGGGCAGCATATATTTGATAAACATAAATTGCCTCCAAAAAAAGACGTTGGAAAAATGGTAAAAAACAGGCTAGAAGCAAGAAAAAAAAAGAAGACAAAACCTAAAATCCGACCAAGTATCAATGCGATGCTTAAAAACAAAATTATGTAAAAAATTACGAAAAGAAATTTCTACAAATGAATCATAGAAAAATAAATATCGACAAATGAAAAAGCCGCAGAGAAAATTGCAAACAAAAAAAATTTACGAAGGACACATGTAGACTTGCTTGCTAATTTATTTAAGGACAAAAAACAAAAAACACATAAAATAAGTTAAAACAAAGCAATACAAGGGCAGCATTTAAAAATACAAAATGAATTAAGGCAATTAAGCGAAGCGAAAAAAAAGTAAAAAACCAAAAAGTCACAGAAACAACAATTCAAGGTATAATAAAAGAGAAATTTTCAAAAAAGAAAGAGAATATATTTCCAGCCAGAATGAACACTACTCCCTCCGAGGACGAGAGAAAGTGGTACTGATGAGAGAAGTCCTCCTAC